ACTCGGGAGGCTGAGGCAGGAGGATTGCTTGAGCCCAGGAGTTTGAGGTTGCAGTGAGCTATGATCACACCACTGCACTCTAACCAGGGCAACGGAGTGAGATCCTGTGTCAAAAAAAAAAAAGACAATAAACTCTAAAAAAGAGCTTAAAATTTAATTATTTTGGCCATGATTTGGAAAACTCCATTTCAGCAGACTTGGGGAAAATAAAGATGTATGTCACTGCTATTTTAAAAAAATAAAGTTTTTCTTTTCTTTTCTGGAGACAGGGTCTTGCTCTGTCACCCAGGCTGAAATGCAGTGGCCCAATCACAGCTTACTATAACCTCAAACTCCTGGGCTCAAGCTATCTTCCTGCCTCGGCCTCCTGTGGAACTGGTACTACAGGCACACACCACCATGCTCAGCTAATCTTTAAAAAAATTTTTTTGTAGAGATGGGGTCTTGCTATGTTGCCCAGGTTGGTCTTGAACTCCTGGCTTCAAGCAATCCTCCCACCTTGGCCTCCCAAAATGCTGGGATTACAGGAATTGGCCACCACACCTGGCCTAAAATAACTCTATAATTGTCCTATAAAATGGAAACCAGTTCAGAGTATGTATGTTGAAAAAGCTTAAAAATCAAATATGCTTTTTACAGAACACTAAGCATTTTCTGAAGACCATCTATTAGAAAACATAAAGTTGTAAGATATTTCCTCCCCAAATCATCTGAGTCAATGTTTTTTAATGCAAATTAACAGTTATTATGGCCTCAAAAAATAACACATTTTCAAATATATTTAAAATAGAAAGGGGGAGATTCTAAAGTGAATTAAAATTTTTTAAGTCTCTGGATACCTTTAAGACCGTGTTTCAGACAATGTTCCATAACAACAAAGAACTGCTGCAAGGGAGGATAGTCAGAATCCAGAGTGCGGCCAAAACTTAGAGCAGATTCAATGAGTCCTTTGATACTCAGTTTAGCCATGTTTAACAAGTTTGCTCTCTCCACAGCTGTGGGGTCTTTTGTAGCTGAAAGCATAAGAAAGGCGTCCAACATCATTTGCAAGACATGACAACGAAAAATATACCAATTCTTCTCATATCCTATAAAACCAATGGTGTTTTGCTTTTCCCTTGGTCAACAAACTGCCTCCCCAACTAAACTGTACCCCTAGTTAACCTCTCTTTATGTCTCTCTCACATATACCATACAAAACTATCATACCCATTCCAGTCAACATTTATGAATTATTGCCATCATCCTGCAAATGTGCTATTTTCCTGAATTTATTTTGTTTTTGTAGTACCTCTTCATTGAGAATGAGTTTTTTTATGCTCTAAGGATGAATTCTAA